GATGTATGCATTTTCCTATCGTTTTTATATGTGATATATTTAACATTTTCCCTAATAAAACTTTTTTTTTTAAATAAAAGTGTTCAAGATGATCTCTAAACCAAAAGAGTAAAGTAAGTAAAGATTTCACCAACTGGGAATGCCAAATTCAGTCATTTAATATAATTTAGTTTTCCAGATTCATTAGCATTTAGCTGTAGGGTCATGTTGTCATGAGCCCTTTGATTTCATTCCCTGTGAAGTCACACCAGCAATACCATTATTTATCATATTACTTATAATGGGTTTCTAGGAGGCCTCATCTATTATTTTTAATGTTTCTTCTCCTCCTCTTAAGTGGGTTGTTTAATGAGAAGGGGCTGCTACAGTCATACAAAAGCATCCTTAGCCAAAGGGGTATTTACTGCAAATATCAAACTCACTCATTGCTCATCCTCACTATGGAGAGAGGGGAAGGGAGAGGAAGAGGGGGAAGAAAGAGAGAGAGAGAGATTGACTGATTCAAAGATGACCAAAATCCTACTCTGTACAAATAAGCCTGCTTTCTAAGACCAGAGGAGATGCAGAGTGTTTGATAAAATTCTTACAAAAGCTTCTGGGAGGCAGTGTAGCACCCTGGCTTGGAATCAATCAGATGTCTAGCTCACCTTTCTTTCAGTTTCTGGGTTGAATACATGCAGGCTCCAGTGAACAGTCAAAGTGCTTAAGAGTTAAGTAGTTGTTCACAAACACACCGTATGAAACATAGCAAAGAGACAAACATTTTCTTTCTTCCAGAACAAAAATAGACTTCAATAGCAACCAAAAGGCAAAATCTCTTTAAGATTGCTGAAAATGGAGATAAAGAAAAGTCTACTTCACATCCCCATGTCCCTTTGTTTACCTAAAAGGTTAAAATTGGGCACCTAGGCTGGGTGAGATGACTTATTAGTGGATTTGCTTTTTTTTCTTTTCTGATCTTAATGTTAATCTTGTTTTTTTCTATTTTTATTTCTATTCAGCATTCTCCTTTGCAACGATTCTCATATTTCTACAATTACATTTCAATGTCTCCCATTTAAGAAGTACTGAAAACTAATTTTATAAAAATCCTTGTAGAAGGCCTGAACTCTTCTAAAGAGTTCTTTGATTGATAGATTATAAAAAACAAAATGAGTAAATAATAAAATGGATAAAGTACTTCATACACAAAATTTAGGTTAATTATAAGTGATTAGGCAGTGGAACCTTTTGAATTTGGGTGAGAGCTTAAATAAACAGGATGCAGAAGGAAGAACATACAGAGAGTCCACCCAGAGTCTTTCAAAAACCCCACCTAGAACAACCATCATATATACTCAGCACATACCCTTCAAACTGCAATAGACTTTATCCTACACAATAAAACAATGAAACAATCACGTTTTACTAAAGTTTACAGAATGCTGTAAGGATATTCAGGTATTTTGCAGGTGGTTCTGCTTCTATCCTGAAAGGCAGTAAAAACCTCCAAAAATACCTTGCTGCAGAGTACAAAGCATGTAAAAGCAAAGGAGGCTATGATTCAGATCCCCATTTCATCACTTGCTACACACGTGAACTTGAATAGTTAACTCCCTTGGCTTGAGTCTCTTCATCTCTAGTAACAGGGATAATACATTTAACTCAGTCTTCTGTGAGGATTAAATGGAAATAAATACGCAAGTGATGTATCACAGGACCTGGCCAGTGCATGTGCTTAATAACTGTTAGTTCCCTCCTTGTAAAAATAATAGATTTAGAGTTTAGCTGTGGCTTTCAAACCTTAATCATAGCTCTTAATAATCCACAGGATCTTCCAAGTAACAGAAATTTTCCTTACAAAATGAAATATATCAAATATGATAAAGCCTATAAATACACCTTTAGTCTGAAAAATATTGGGTGCAAATGAGGAAACTAAAGATTACTTTTCAACATGTTTTCCAGATAGTCACAGATAAGAGTATTTTTGGGCAACCAAATATAGTATACAAGAAAAGAACAATAAATAGCCTATGTTTCTAATAATATCCTAAATTGATAAATCACTAAAGTTGTCCTTTTTTAAAATGCATGCCCATTTGTTAAATCAATATATGAGAAGTTATCACTTTTTACTCTTGAAATGCTGCAGGTATTAAAGGTATCTCTAATTGGCACAGTAAGTAAAGGTCCACCCCAATGGGTCAGTTCAGTTTTTATTCCCTGGTGGAATGAACAGAGCTTGAGTAGGTTCTTCCAAGTACTCTCTGTGGAAGGTGGGAAGCAGAACAGGCTGGGCAGTTGCAGGAACCGCGTACAGGAACCATAGAGGGAAACCACCCCTATATGCACCAAGGCTCAGTTGAATTTGAGCTTACAAGGGAGAATTAATGATAACAAGGGAACAGCAGGCCCATGAGCAAGGTGTTTATAACCAGGTGTTAGATCAGGACTCTTCCTATATTACTTTTGACTGATGTTCAAATATGAGAGCTATGGGATACTAGAATGTAAAATATATGCCCAGAAGCAGAATTTACAAAGGAAATGGTCAAAAGCATGTTCCAAGACTCTTGGGACCCTTGGCAAGATCAAGGAATAACAAAATGGGAAAAGCAGACAATTTCATATGAAGGACTTATCTGATGAAAAGTATACCGTGGTCCTACCCCCTATTGCCAGCAACCAGGGAGAGGGGTGAGAGTATGCCCGCCCCTCACTCCACCAGCAACCCACAGAGCCTGAATGATAGTGCCCGCAGTTGGGGAGCGTGGCCTGCCTCCTACCTCAAAGAGCTAAAGGGGCTGTTTGGAGGAAGTAACTACATTATGACTGAAGGCAGTGCAAGAAATGTGTGGGTGCTTCTCAGATGTGGGCTATGGGGGAGAAGGCCAGACTAAAGAGGTTTTAATACCTTGTCAACAGGATAGCCTGGAGGAAGAAGGGTCTCGTCAATGAGAGTCTATGCGAAAGTGGAGAATCAGGAGCAGCTGGGGAGGCATCTAGCCATCATCCATCAGGGCAGCTGCTGCGGGAGAGGCCCAGAAGCAGTCTCCAAAGACAAACTCCCACCCCCGACACACACACACACACACACACACACACACACACACACACACACACACACACACACACGTCAACTTTAAATATTTTTAAGGACCAGAGAGAATGGAGCCAGCAAATGGCATTACCAGTCCCCAGCTATGGAAGAACTTTCCTGCCCTATTCCTTTGCCTTCCCTTTCTTCTGAATTTTGATCCTTGTGAGTACCAAACAGAGAATTGGAGGAGGAGGTAAGTAGAGAGAAAAAGTGAAAGACCACCACACGACCTTTCCCAAATGCATGCAGCCTATACCCAGAAGAGCAGAAATGAGAGGAGATGTATTGCTTTTGAATGCATATTAAAGCACTGGTCAGTATTTTGGGATGGACCCTATAATTCCTGAATTAAGACTGAGTTTGTGAATTAAAATGACCCAAGGACAGTTTATTATCTGAGAGTGAGCTGAAATGTAATGCAGCCTGAGTATTCATTAAGGGCAGAGGAAAAGCTTCCTTAACTGAATAAAGTTAAAGGCACCACAGGAGATAAAGATAGCTCTGTTTTTATTTCATCCCACATTTAGAGCTTGTTCAGCATAATAGATACAGAAGAAACACACACACACTCAGACATATGCTTGTTATGGCTGGTCTCTTAAGACACATTCACTAACACAAAATAGTCACCATCAATGCTGTCTTTTAAAATCACCAAAGATAGCAGCACTGGAACTTGGTAAGAGATAACAATTGCTTGAAGCTTCCATCCAGAACAAGAGAGAAGAAGGGGATTAAGTGCCCTCCAGAGAGTAAGGTACTGTCTTCCTTCTAAATAGTCTAGATGGCAGTTTTTTAAAAAATGAAAAATAATAGAATAATAGGGAAAAAAGCTGATCCCAGTGTTAGTAGTAGAGTAGAAATAGTGTGAGAGTGACCTGGGATAATTTTTCTGGACGGTAATTCAGTGATAATTATCAAAAACCCTAAAATATTGGCCAATATATTGTACTTCTAGGGATTTATACTACAAAAACCATCCAATAAATATACAGTTACATAAGTTCAAAAATATTATTAATGGTGTTAAACAATTAGAAAATCAGACACTTTAAAAAGTCACTTTCAAACATTCGACGACAGGCAGTGGACCAGATCTGGTACACGAGCCACACTCTGAGGATTCTACACCATTCTCCTGTCAGAATATCAGCTCCATAAATGCAGAGAATTTCATCTATTTTGTTAACTGCTGCATCCCCAAAAAGGCTAGAACAGTGCATGGCCCTTAATATATGCCTAATCCTAATCAATACTTGTTGAATGAATAAACTATTTTAATCCCTAGAAAAAGCATATGAGTTAGAAATTATAATTTTACAAATGATAAGGAAAGAACCAGTATTTAAGCACAGGTCTGTCTAATTCCAAAGGTCTGGAATAATTTCAAAGTTCTATAGCTTTCCACTATATTACACAAATAAGGCAAAAGCACTACTGCATAATTACAAAGCTGCACACCATCTCCTATATATTTTCCACCTGTCCTTTTTCCTCACTCATGGTTTGCACTTTGCTGAGCCTCAGGACCAAATCAACAATACACCAATATGTTAAAACTATATCTAGATCTTTACGTTCACATTTTCATCTATGCTATAATCTATATATTTCTATTTCTATATCTATATCTATGGATTTAGTATTTGGATTACAATTGATGCAACCAAACCAACAGTTCACTCCTGAACATAAACCCCCTTAATTGCACAACTAGGAATACTAGAGACTTAGGCTATTTAAAACACCACGTCTAGAAGACCCAATAAGTTTTCTTCACTCAGACATGTAGCATACATGGGTACAATATTAATTTGTCTTTATTCTTTTAAAATGCACAAAGAAATAAAAAATGCAAAGGAAAAACAAACACCAAAAAATGCACCATTGTCCTCTGCCTTGAGAATGCCTTGCTTACCCTCTCCACAGTAGTGGAGGGCCCTCGGCTCTTAGGCCTCTCACGTACTACAGCCCTGCCGGGGGGGCTGCCATTTCTTGCTTTCAATAACCAGCTCTCATAGCTGATCATACAGATCTGCTTCCCTTCATAAGTCAATAATCGATGCCAGCTGTTCTCCAAAAATAGGCATTAGGAAAGCACCCAAGCAGTTCTGAACATAGATTCAATGGACTGCACATCATTCCACAGTTTATTAGCTTGCCTGGGGTTTTACCACCATTACAATAAGTAGGGAGCTTGAAGGAGCCAACTACTGTTTTGTCAAATTTTCACTCTTTATAAAAAATAAAAAAAGCAAAAAACAAATTTTCCCTATTTGTATGCTCAGGGCAAAATTGTTAAAAATCTGTGTATGTGGAACCAATGCTGCATACTAAGAAAATACTAAAGGGTAAGACAAATAGCACCCACACTGTTTGCTTGCCTTAAAAGGCTTAATGTTTATTGTAATCTGATGCCGTAATGATTGATAGTGATGTCGTGACACTGAGAACTCAAGGGTTATATGACCATTGAAAGATTATTAAACTCAGTAAAAAGATAAAAGTAAATGAAAAATGATATAATAAAGCTGAACTTTTCAGCTCCTTGACTGCTAGATCTTGCAATAAAAATATACTTAAATTATATAAATCATAATGTACACAACTTTGGGACAAATAAAAATAGATTGCTTACTGAAACTACAAGGAGGGTAAGCTGCATCTTATCCATAACGAATAAAAGCAAAAAAGGGTTCAGTTTTTGGTACTTGAATATGAACTTAGGATAAGCAGATTGTACTGGCTCATATACAATTGTCTTGATTATGCCAGTGCATTTTAAGGCAAATATTCCCTCTTTAATGTTAATAGAGCATTAAAGAAGATGAAAAGTAATAGCCACTATTTAGGGAATGCTTGCAGTGTTCACTTTTCATCTTCTTCTTACTTAATCTTAGCAAAAACATGTGCTCCCGATTGTATAATTTGTAAGGACAAGAACTGAAACTCAACCTAGATCTCTTCCAAACTAACCCTCATGGACTTGACTCTAAAGCTATCCTGAGTCTCAAAGAATGAAAATATATACTGTGTATCACATACAAAGAAGTCAGGAAGTGATTATCAGTCACTGAAGCCACAAAAGAAATGTTAATCAAAAACAACTCTATCAACTCTTACCAGAAGTGTGGAACCAAATCCAAGAACTTAATTTTTCTCAGCTAGATTTCTATGATGTTCCTATAGAATTCTAGTGTTCCTTATTGTCACCCCACTAGGTCCATTCCTTTGGAAACTCCTGAGCTCCAAATTATATTAATAAAATGACAAAGTAATAAACATGTTTTAATCATTCACAGGAATCTTAACAGGACATGTAAAAATATTACTCACATTGGGAAATCTTTCCTGCAAATGATAACTACATCATGCACACTCTCACTATGAAAGTTTCCAGTCTCACTGAATGCTAAATCGTAATATAAACAAATCTTATACTGATTTTTTAAAGACGCCCAAGTTCCCTAAAAGAAAGAGCACATTGAACATGTTTCTGCTCCACACCCAAGACCACTATGCAAACTAATTTCAAAACTCATTAGTCCAGAGAAATAGGCATATTTAAAACCCTATTGCCTCTGTTCACAGAAGCTATTCCCTTCTCTGTCAGGTACCCTCAACTTCTCCTTCTTAATGTACTAAAATAATAACCCATTTATTTACCAAGTACTATGTGTCAAGCTCAGTGCTATGTACTTTTTATGTATTATCTCATTTATTCCTTTATGTAGTCTTATGAAGTAGGTACCATTTTATCATTCCCATTTTACAGATAAGGAAAAGTAGTTAATTGGCTCAAGTTACACTGCTAGCAAGTGACAAAAATAAGACTTCAACCCAGGTCTATCTCAGTACAGGGCCCTTGCTCTTAACTGCTAAGCTACGAGAGTCAGCCAGGACCCTTGAAATCATGTAGTCTCAAATCCTCATTTTATAGATGAAGACACGTTACCTCAAACAACTGAAGTGGTATGTTCAAGGTCACACCTTGATTACTGGCAAAGTCAGGGTTAAAACCCAGGGCTTGCTTTTTCTATGCTCCTTCTACTACCCCATATGGCCTTTTTCTAAAATTTGAAAATAGAAATACATTC